TTTGGCTTCTGTAATTTGATGAAGACACTGGCTCTCTTGGCATAGAGAATGGCCAAGCGAGGATTCAGTTTGATGGCATCTGTGAACAAGTCAATGGCTTTCTGTAGTTCGCCATCATTTAGGGCATCAATGGCAGCCACTTTTTTATCATTTGCCTGATCCATCATTTCCTCGGTTATCTCTACATTTTCATCTCCCATTTCTTGAGGGGCATCAGTATCTGGTTCAATCACACCTTCATTGTCAATTTCTAGATCACTTTCCTCACTTGATGGTTCGTCTGTCTTTATGTTTTCCTCCGCCTTCTTATTATCTGTTTTTTCTTCCTTGATATTGTCTTCTGATTTAGTTTTATGAGTGGCAGGGGGTATTTTACCCCCCATGCTCTCCACCCACTCCCGCAGGAAGCGCATTTCCTCGGTGTGCAGAACGCTCGGATCCTGCTTACACATTTTCACGAAGGCCCGAAGCTCGCTCACTTTGCGGGGGTCCATGGTCCAGAGGCGGTGGCAAGCGGCAGGCGGCAGGCGCGGCTGAGGTTGCGGCCCGATTCCAGGTCCGTGTACTAGCTCAGCGTGATCGTGTAGAAGTTGTCAGGGGGATTTCAACGCAGCATAAAAAATAAATAATTGGGGGTGCCTGGGGGGCTCAGGCAGTTGGGTGTCTGCCTTCGGCTCAGGTCACGGTCCTGGGGTCCTGGGATGGAGCCCCGTGTCGGGCTCCCTGCTCGGTGGGGAGTCTGCTTCTCCCTCCCCTCCCTGCTCGTGCTCTCTTGCTGTCCCTGTTGCACCCTCTGTCTCTCTCTCACATAAATAAATAAAACTTAAAAAAATAGTTATGTCTGCGTATCAAACTAAGACAAGTGCCCGGACACCTTCTAATGTGAACGGCAGGGAGGGGTTGTGGTGAGGAGGTTGGGAGGACCTCTCCGGCTCGATGACATGATGACAAGGAGGGAGAACATTCCTGCCAAGCGAACAGCAGGTGCCAAAGCCCTGAGCGGGGACGGGCGTGCTGTGCCTGGGCAGCAGGTTGGCCTAGGGCTCAGTGAGAGGTGAGCGTGGTGGGGGGACCACGGACCCTGTTCAGTCCTCAGGCCACGGGAGCCAGTGAAGGTGACATAATCCAATTTCATCCGATTTGGTGGATCGCTTCGGCTCCTTCCGGAGAACGAACTCCAGGGTGAGGGGAGAGCTGAGATGCCAGAGCGAGGGGTGTGGAGTCACCAGCTGCGAGGTGGTGGCGATGCACACACAGGCGGGCAGAATGTGCGTGCGACCTGGGGTCCGCAGGGGAGCGCCAGGCAAACGCGGGCCACGCGGGGAAGGGGGGCTCGCCGATGCGTCTTCCGCTCTCGGCTGGAGGGACGGCTGGGAGCACAATTAGCAGAGGGCGGGAGCACCGGGAGGGACGGGGGAGCATGACCAAGCTAGCCACGGGAGGTGCACGAGGTAGGCGGTGTCTGTCACACACCCACGGAGGTGTCAGTGGGACACCTGGATGTCTAGGCCAGAGCTCAGAGAGCGGCCCAGCTGCGAGGATCTAAACGGGGCCCGTCGGCACCCGGATGGCGTTTTAAGCCCCTGCTGCAGGTGCCGATGCCAGGAAACCACCGACGCAGGAGGAGGGGCTCGGGAGCGGGGCAGAGATGGCAGCGGGAATGTGGAGGCCAGTTAGGAGGGAAGAGGCCAGGAGAGGACAGTGTCTGAAGGAGGGCGGGCCGCACGCGTTGCATGCTGCTGCGGCGCTGGTGACACGGACGTGGAGGAAGGGCCACTGGACTGAGCGGGACGGGAGTCTCTGGCACATCACGGGGGCCGTTTTGGAATAGTCACGTGGAGAGAGGCAGGGCTGTGGGAGGCAGGGGGCTCCCCCACAGCCCCGAACGTTCCTCTAGGCAGAAACCCAGGGTGACCTTCTTGCCGACCTCACCGTCCTGGACGCCCCACGTCTGATTTGCTTCCTCCACGTTCTGTCCGGTTCTCTACAGGCTGACCGCCAAAGAGAAAGTTTAGTGCCGGCTTCTTTGCCCCGACCAGAGGCTCGTGTTTACGACTTGTCCACGGCATGGAGTCCTATTTAGCAAAGTTGGTCCAAGCATGATGCCAGACGTAGGAAAACCCTTTCTGTTCACATGTGTTTCCTGCCAGGACCTTCACGGTCTCATGGTTTTTAACACCGAGCCCTTCAGCCCCCACGTAGACTTATTTTGGTGAAAGACGTAATAAAGCATGGGTCCAACTTTCTGCAAATGATAAGCCCGCTTACTAAATAATCCGCCCCCTCCTTAGAGGTATAAAATGCCCCCTCTGTACACCAAGATCTTCCTACGATTGCACCTGTACCTTGACTCTTTCTTCTGATCAGGTACATTGTCTGTCTGTTGCTGAAACCACACGGGGAAAACTACTCTGAGCTCCAGATACTGACCTGCAGACTAATTGCTAACATGCACACCACAGGAAGACGGTTCCAGAACACCAAGAACGTGGGGCCTGGGGGCAGAGCACATTGCTTACCTCTCCGCTCCCCCGCTCGCTCCCTGCTCAACCCTGGGCGAGCACTCAACCCGTGAGCCTCAGTTTCCTCGAAGGTAAAATGGGGACAGAGGCTTCCCCTCATTTCTGCTCCTCTCCTGAACTCTGCGTTCCAGCAGGAAGGGGCACTGGACCCTGAAACACGCCTCACCTGTTCGCGTCTCCATGTGCTGGCCTACACTGCCCTCTCTGCTCCGACAGCCTGGTCACGTCCCCTTTCCGATACTTTTATGGTCACTTACAAAGTAGACACCTGAGTAACCGCTTCTTGAGCCTTGCCCCGTTCCCGGGCTACCTAGCCACCCCCTTGCACGCTCTCCCAGCAGCCTGCGCGCGCATCTCCCGGGGATGTATGTATTCCCGTGTCCGTCCCCGGTGGCTGACCCTAATCTCCTGGGGGTGGAAGCTGGCCTTATTATTATTCTCTGATGAGCAGAATTAACACTTAGCAGGTGCTCAGTAGGTGTTGGTTGAATGAACAGGTGGACAAATGGATGCCGATGCAGGGCTAAGTGATGGTCCAGCCGGCTGCCCGTCCCCCTCTGCCCTTGGCAGGCTTTGCCTTAGTGGCCACGTCCTTGTTTCTCTTCTGCCTCCTGATGACAGCATCCTGATGTCAGAATCCCTCTCTCTGTGGGACTTGATACCAACGCTAGGCCCCTGAAAGCCTCTCTACGGCTTTTCTCGAACAACTGTCCCCTTCTTTCCCAGCGGATTCTTTGTTCCCTGCTTTCTCTGTGGGCCCTGAGCTCCCGCTGCACGGTGCTGTAACCTCAGGACGTCGGCATGAGACCACCAGGTGGGTCCCTCCCTGGCCTGCCGACCGGTGGGACGGTGGGGCTCTCTGGTGGTTCTGACCATGGGCTTCCCACCTGTCCAGGGCTGACCAGGGGACCGAGACTTCGCGTCTGCCTGCGCTAGCCCCTTGAGCTGGAGGAAGGCAACTAACATTTGTTGAGTAATTATTATCAGCCTGGTGCTTTGTATACAGATTTGCATTTCATTCTCTCAAAACCTCCTAAGATCAGGGTGATTGTTTCTGTTCCCAGAAACCCCGAGGGGCTGAAAGTTGCTCCAACTGAAATGGAATGTGTGGGTTTAGTCACTGAGCCAGAAGACCCATCCTCTTTCCGCATCTTCCTGGGCGCATGCTGTCATGGGGTCATCACTGACCTGGGGTGTGCTGCATCCGGCCCACGGAATTAGACTTCCAGTGGAAATCCATTGAATGGCTTTGTCTGGGCACCAGCCCAGTGGGTCTCTCCCAGTTTCAAGTCCAGCCCAACAGTTCTTGGGGTTTGGAGTCAGAATCCCTGGGCCCACCCAGATTTGAGTTTAGGTCCCGCCTGTGCTGCTTACGGACTAGATGAACCTCAGTTTCTCTTGCCAGCGTAATAATCCCTCCTCCTCCCTCCCAGAGCTGGCCAAATCCTAGAAAGTACAGGACTCGCGCTCGAGAGCACACTTTTTAGAAGCAAACCAACCATCCCAGAGCCCACACTCCAGCATCTTGTTTTATGAGATGTTCACACTCCAAGCTACTCTCCACCTGCCCACAGCCAGGGACCGTGTTCTCATGCCAACGTCCTGAGGTTAAGAGTCCTGGAGTGGGAGCTCAGGGCCCACAGAGAAACTACACAATCAATCCTAAACCCTCTTGTGTGCCCGACCTCTCCTGCTCCTTCCCCCGGCAGCCACGATAAAGGCTTCTGCCCACGGTCCCCTCTGTTGCTTCTACCTTCTGCCAGAGCCCAGTGCGCCCCTGTGTCCACCTCCGTGTTGCTCTTGGGTGCTTTCTTTCCTGTGGTCATCCTCTCCTTATCTGTTGGCCTTGATGTATCTGAATTTTTTTCTGTAAATACACTATTTTAAACCAGGCTTTAAATCCTGGATTCAAGATACCAGCTGTATAATCCTCAGTCCGTCTCTCTGAGGCTCCACTTTATCCTATGGGGACAGGAGCCATTTCTAGGTCTTTGGGTTGTTGTGGGAATTAAACAGTAGGTTCCTGGCACGTGCTGAGTGCCGAAGGAGAGCGATTACTACCATTACTACCGTGATCATCACAGCCGTAGTTCAGCGCTCACCAGTACCCACCGTGGGGTAGCACAAAACCCAGGACTGGACAGGGCACCGACTGGGGCAATGACAAGCAATTGAGAGCCTTCTCCATGGACTTCCTTGGTCATCTAAACACAAACTGGGGCCACCGGGGCTCTGAAGAATTGTAGGCTTGTTCAGGGGCGGCCACGAGTGGAACTTGGTTCACCTCAGGACCTGAAGAAGCATGCTGGGTGGACAGCAGTACCAGACCAGCATGGCCATGGAGATGGCTGGAGAAAGGGAGTCCAAGGGGACGGCAGTGTGACCTTGCTGTCAAAGTGACAAGCAGGAGTGAGCCACGGTTGCTAGGAAGTGATGTCAATGCAAAGCGAAGGGTCAAAAGCCAGGAGTCAGGAGACAGTGATTGGTCAAAGCTGACCTATACCCTGTGTGTGTTGAAAGAACCAGACTCAAGCCGGCAGGTGGAGCAATGACCAGTATAGACAGAGGGGGTGACTTCCAGAAATCCAGATACTCCTTGATCCTGTGCAAAACACAGGTCCCAAGAGCATTATGGGGGGGGCGGGGAGCAGAGCTGGGAGAATATGGCAAATGCCAGACTGTTACACCAGCATTGATTATGCACCTACCATATGCCCGTCTGGATACTGAGAAGGCTGGATCTTCCAAATACTGTGGTGATAGAAGTGTGGGTGCGCTGGGGAACAGCCCCCTTGACCTCGTCGGTAGAAGAAGAGAGTTGAGTGTGTGAGGTCAGTGGTTCTTAAACTTGAGCATGCGTTAGTACCACCGGGAGGGCCGGGTAAATCACACATTACTGGGCCTGCATCCTTCCCCCACCTCCAGGGTTTTCTGATTCAGTAGATCTGGGGTGGGCCTGAGAATTTGCCTATATCTAACACACGCCTGGGCTAACCAGCCCTGTGTTAGGCATATTTAAAGCCTAACTGCTGCCCTTCCCTGCCAGGCTCCTCCCTGCTTG